TGGCCACTGCCAGAACTGGAAGGGATGGCTGTAGGGAAGAAATACATGTCCACTCCCAGCCATGACCTTGAGCTGCTCTACTGAACTAAGGCAGCCAGGCAGCCCCAAAGGGATGCATCTTATCCCCTGGCAAAACTCCCTAAACTTCTCCCCAAAGGACCTTTCACCTTGAAGTAACCTTGAAGACAGTGAGTTTTTATTTCCTGTGGTCTAGATTTCAAAGCGGGCATAGTCAGTCTAAACATTTTTGGAAGTCTCCTGTTTCAAATGAAAAACTTTTCGTGAATTGTATTCATTTAATGTAAAAATAATGTTTTTATTCCCAAACTTTGATTTTGAACCTACAGAAAAGTTGACAAAATACTATGTACTTTCAGTGCACATATGAGTGTGCACAATTATTGGCAATGCGCCCTTTGATCAGTTGGTGCATTTTTGTGAAAATTGCATTTTAACAGTACATTTCTCCTGTATCATTAATAAGTAATTCACATGAGATCATATGACTATGCTGTTTTCCAACAACCTTCCACATTTAGGGTGATTTTCGTCTGAGTCAGTTATTACCATGGTGATCGTAAAGTGATGCATTTTCTATTTCTCTTATTTCTTCTATATTTATTAATTCGTATTACTGTCTTTTTAAAAAAGCTTTCCCTCTACCCAGTATTAATTTTTATTTTTAGGAACAGTACAGGCTCATGGATTTTTAAATATTCCATGTGTTATAATCCATTCCCGTTTTTATTCATTTTCGATGCTCATCTTGTCTGAAATTTGGCCAATGAAAGTCCCTTCATGCTGGCTTCTCTGTCCTTTCGACAGAGCCACACCAGTTTTTAAATGGTCCTTCCCGTCTGGCAGAGATTATTCCAGACCGACCTTGTACTCGGCCTCAGCCTTGAAGTCGGCCATTTCTTCAAGGAGACTGACTCTTTTTCATGGAAGATGGTGTTTAGAAACCAAGAAACAGCATCCCCGCTTATCTGCAATTCTGCTTTCTGCAGTTTTAGTTGCCCGTGCTCAACAGTGGTCTGAAAATGTTAAACGGAAATTTCCAGAAATAATTCATGAAATCTCGCGAGTCCTGCCACGTCCAGCGCAGGGCGTGATCCATCCCTTTGCCCAGTGTCTCCACGTGGTCGATGCTCCCAGCCGGTTAGACGCTCAGTAGCCATCTCAGTTAGCAGATCCACTCTTTGTGTTCGAGTCGCCTTTATTTTACTTAATAATGGCCCCAAATCGAGTAGTGATGCCGGCAATTTGGGCGTGTCAAAGAGAAGCCATAAAGTGCTTCCTTTAAATGAAAAGGTAAAAGTTCTCGACTTAATGAGAAAAGAAAAAAAAAGAAAAATAGTATGTAGAGGTCGCTAAGCTTCCCGGAAAGAACAAATCTTTTATCTGTGAAAATCGCGCAGAAGGAAAATGAAATTTGTGCTAGTTTTGCAAACTGCAAAAGTTACGGCCACAGAGAGTGATAACTGCTTAGTGAAGATGGAAAGGCAGGAGATTTGTGGGTGGAAGACATGAACTGAGAACGCGTTTCAATGGATGGCAACATGTCCCCACGGAAAGCATTGAGCTTGTATGAGGACTTCAGCAAGGGCCCCCCCGAAACGCGTGACCTCAAGTCATCACTGCCCGTAAGGGATGGTTACCCGGATTCAGAAAGTGTTTGGGCCGAAAAATAGAAAAATTCCTGGAGGGTATTATTTTAGTTATTCTATTTTATTATTAGTTATTGCCATTAATTCCTTACTGTGCCTAATTTATAAGGTAAGATTAATCACAGGTGTGTACATGCTGGAGAAAACATCGCATATATGGGATTTGGTACGATCGGTTCTGCTCATTTTGTCATATGTAAATTATACGTTAATAAAAAAGAAAGCTATAAAGATATGCGAAATTGCTCTTAAACAAATGAAAAGACATTTAATTTCACTCATAATGAGAGAACATAAAACAGAACTGCAGTGGACGCCACTTTCACTTACGTAAATGACAAAAATTCGAAAGCTTGACAATCCACGCTGTTGGTGAGACCATGAGGAAACAGGCAAGAATACCCAAAAATATCGAAATTTCTCAAAATGGCTATATTTATCCTTTGCCCTACCAATCTCTCTTCTGGGTATTTATCTTGAAGATATAGTCTAATGCTAAATTTCCATATATACTTGGGTCTATTTCTGGACTTCCTATTTTTCTGCTGATCTATTTCTGCTCCGGTACCCCGCAATTTTAATTATAGAGGTTTTATAGTATGTTTTAATGTCTAGTAAGTTTAGTCCTCCCTCTTTGCCTTTCTTTCTGGGTTAGTCTAGCTATTCCCGAGTGCTTTAATTTTAAAAACATATATAAAGTTTAGAATCAACTTGTCTAGGTCCAGAAACGAAAACTTACTGGCATTTTTATTGGAATTGCGCTACATGTAATTTAGGGGAAGTGACATCTTTGTGATGGGTCACACTTTCCAAAAAACAATGGATGTCTTTCCAGGAAGTATACTTTTATATATTTCAGAAACGCTCATATGAAATTTCCTCATATAACGTTTATACATATCTTGCTAATACTTTAGCATTTTATCTTTGTAGTTGTCGCTGCTTTTGTAAGTGGGAGTTTAGCTCCCATTATTCCTTCTAACTATTGATTTCCGTACGGTTCATTTTATGTACCGCTATATTGTTGAGTGATTTTACTGTTTGAGTTAGTTTTATCTTTGAACCACTTGGGTTTTGCAGGTATACTATCAGATCATCTGCAATTCTAGATAGTTTCACTTATGTTTTCCCAATTCTTGTGACTCAAATTGCTTCCTCCTGCCTAATCGCGCTGAGTAACATTTTCCAATTAAATAGAAAGCTGGGTTTTGGACTTAGGGTTTTTTTTGTTTTTGTTTTTGATCATGTTAAGGAAATATCCACCTTCTTATTTCACTTAGTACTGGAGTGAGCGTTGCATTTTTTTACAAAGTTTTTCAGCATTTATTAAAACAATCATACAACTGTTCTTACATTAATACGGTGAATTATATGAATGGATTTCCTAATATCAAACCATTCTTGTGTTCCTGATATAAATTTCACTTTACGAAATTGAATTCTTGTTTGTTAATGTTTTATTTAGAGGGGTTTTTTTTTTGCATCAATATTCAGACGTGATGTTTAGGTTTTTGTGTGTGTGCTATATTTATTTTAAGTATGAATGTTAATCTTGATTTATACAGAATTTAAAAGTTTCCATTTTCTATGCTCTGGAAAAATTCACGTAGCATTGAGTTTATTCAATTTTCAAATGGTAGAATTCCCCTGAAAAACCATCTGAGTGTGTTGAGTTTTTATGGGTTAGTTTTTTGAAATGTTCTTTAATACTTGTATGGAACTTTGTCTGTTTAAGCATTTTCTTTCTACTGGGGTCAATTTTGTAAAACTGCATTCCTAGGAAATGATCCGCTTCATTTAAATTTTCAAATTTATTTTTGTAAGATTACGCAATATGGTCTCTCATGATTTAAAAAATTTCTTCCATATCAAAATTACTTCTTATTTATTATATTATTATTATTTTCTAGAAATACTGCTATTGTGGTTTTTGTTTGCACTTTCACTTAAGTGTTGTTTAATAGAGATTGTTTTAATTTCATCTGTAAAGAAATTTACAATATTTTGTGGTTTTGTTGCATTGCGATAAGAATTATATTTTAAAGGACTTATCAATTAAAACATTTTTTCCTCCCAAAATATTAAAGTAAAATTGATACTTTTTGAACTTGGCCAGATGTGCCAAGTTCATCTGGCAGTGTATTGTTGCGTGCAACCCACATCCCCAACAATAGGTTTTGCACTTTTTAAAGAGTAGCATTAATTCTTCTCACAATGGTCTAGTATTATTTTCTTATTAATCTAATGAAAGTATTTGATTAAAGTAGTCCAGATAAATGAAACCATATTGGTTCACTAGAATATCAATGTAAAAATATTTATATACACTCAGTTTTCTTGTGTTTCAATAATTTTATGAGAACTAACTTACTATTGGCTCAAGGTCACCTAATCGTTACAGTCCTATATTAAAAATAAGGCGATGGCTCTATCCGTTGCAACCTAGTACAAGGCCTAATAGTTAAACAATGGTCAATAAATCCTTTTTAAATTGATGAAGGAATAAACGAATCTACTACATATAGGTTATAATTCATTTACTTTTGCAAAGTAATATCTCTCTGAGAGATCATCAGGTAGTTACACAGGGATGTTTAAATTTCACTACTAATAACCCGTTTTCTGTCACACTGATAATCTAAGTTTAATGGGTTATGGTGCTTCGTAGCTAAGTACTGGGAAGGAATTTATTTCTTGGGCTGTCTTAAAATAATAAGTCATATACTCCTTCAGTTGATGATACAGAAAGGAGTCGTGTTAGACGGCAAGGATGGCTTCACAAGTCACCGAATCTTTTCCTTAGGTGAGGGTCTCTAGACAGACTGTGGAAAGGGACACAGTTTTAATAAACAAAACCCTGAGAATCGTGTGGTGGTCTGTTACATTTGGTAGCCTCCAGTGAACCAGGCCGCTTGGCATCTACGCCTTTGAATAGTCCTCTTCCTCGAATCCGGGCAGGCGCCGTGCAAGTTTAGGCCTAAACCTTAAGAAGCCCTGTCAACTGCTGCTTTTCACTCCTGGAATCAGCCTTCATGCTGTGAACAGCCCATGCCCTCACAGAAGCCACGCTGAGGAGTACCGAGCCACTCCAGGAGTGAGCCGTGTGGGATGTGCCACCCTAGTTCAGCCCCTAAATCGAGCAAACTATGGCTTTCACTCGAAAGTGGACTGCCTCCTGATTTTGTAAATAAAGTTTTATTGCAACACAGCCACGCCCGTTTCTTTATATATTACCTATGGCGGTTTTCTCACTACAATGGCAGAGTCAGACAGTCATTGCAGAGACCTTATGGGCCACGAAACCTAAAATCTTTACTATTTGGCTCTTTATAGGAGAGACTCCTGTCCTAAATGTCCGAAGCCCCAGCAGAGGGACTGTCCAGCTGAATCCAGTCAACGCACAGAACCGTGAGCAATAATCAAATGATTGCTGTCTTAAATTGTTAAGTTTGGGGATGGTTTGTTATCCAGCGACAAACAGTAAAATCTGATATTTGTGTTTTATAAGCTTGACGGTAGTTTAACTTTCTGTCTTTTAACTTTTAGTAAGATCTGTAGGATTTTTCTGTCTTAGCTGCGTGTCACTAAGACTCTCACCAAGGTCAGCAACCTCCAATGGAGGTCTTTCAGTCTTCATCTCGTTGGACTCTGGGTCATCTCTTTGACCCTTGGTCATCGATTGACTTCTTTGCTCTTGAAACATCTCCCTTTTAGCCCTTTAAACCACAATCTCCTTTCTTTTGTCTTGTAGGAAGCTCTTTATGAATTTCTTTTTGGGGGGTCGATCTTCTGCCTAACGCTTCATGTAAGAGTTCCCTGGGATTTGTTCTTAGATTTCATTTGACTTTCAACGAATATATATTGAACCTACTATATGCCTGACACCGTTCTGGGTACGTGGGATACATTATCGAACAAAACTAACAAAAATCTCTGCCCTTGGAGAAAATTTTAAATATATACATAATGATATAAGTTATTTCAAAAGCTGGAAGTTAATAAGTGCTTTAGAAAAGAAAATAAACAGAATGGGGGTTAGGGAACATGGGCTGGGAGGAGGCAGGAATTTAAAGAATAAAGGATTTAAGGAATTTTTTAGAATAGGCTTTTTTGAGATGATGAAGTTTGAGCAAAGCCTGAATAAAAGGTAAAGGAACTGATAAGTGGAAATCTAGAAATCCGTTCCAGGCAGAGGGAGCGGTGGCACGAAGACAGGAAGACAAGGAGCCTGGCGGGGGTGCTGGAGAACAGGAAGGACGCCCCCCGGGGTGGACTGGAGGGGACCCCGGGCGACGAGGTCTCAGACACGAAGGGCCCCAGATCCCGCAGGGCCTGGCGAGCCACTGCTGGGGCTTTGTCTTTTCTCTCTGAAGAAGAGAGAAGAATCAAGCCCTCAAAAGGACCACTCTAGCTCCAAATAGAGAAGAGAACGGAGGTGGCAGGGACAGGCAGACGAAGAGGCGGCCAGCGGAAACCAAGGGACGACTGTCTCTTCTCATCTGACACTTTTCCTGGACAATCTGAGGTTCGCAGGCTGCCACGGCTCCGCTGACCCCAAATCTATTTTTTCCAGCCCAAGTCTCTCTCCTGAGTGTCTGTCTCACATGTGCAAAGACCTACTGCTCATCCCCTCTCTGGCTCTTTCTTCTAAAGCCTTAGTCCCCTCCCACGCTCCTCCTGTGTCACTACTAAACCTTATTGAGTCATTCTCTTTAAGAAGCCACTGCTCGCACTTATGTTAGTGGATCACCCGTGCTGGCCCGTTGATGCTTTGGACTCCATTGACACATTATTGCGGTTTAGTTTATCAGAAATTCTGCCTGTCATGGTGGTTGGAAGGATTGGAGGCAGGATAGGCAGGTTTTCATTGGACGGGAGGATGGAATGCCGCCTTCGAAGACGGTTCAGGCTGGGGAGCCGTGTCGGCGGGTCTCTGAGGATAGAGGATGGGAATTTCAGAGTGAATTCCTTACATTTTGTAGATTTGCCATTGGGTAATGTAGGGACACATAATTCTGAAATTGTGACTTTTGTTACAAATAATAAACTTATCATGTAGCCAGTATGCAAGAGCTAAAGCTTCGTATAGATCGCAGAATTTTAATATGTGAATTTAATTTTCTTCCATCACTCTCGGGGATTTTTTTGTTCACTCCCCATTATAATTTTAGAATGTAGCATTCATTCTTTTGACTTTTAGCAAAGGAAGTCGTTTCGCTCTGGAAAATACTTAGTCAGAAGGGTGTGTGATTCCTTTTTCCATGATCTTTGTTTCTTATAATTTGTGCGGACAGGAGCTTAAGAAGTTATCTTAAGCTTTTGTGTCTGACACTTATTTTTAAGTGTTTTTTGAAAGTAATAATTGATACGAGAGGAACCAGTCTCCCTAGAATATATTTTTCCATATCCTACTTACATATGGGAAATAGTCTTGTAAAGATAATTAATGTGAAACTAACCAGGCCAATGAGAGCTATTATTTTTTTGTTAGAAATTCGACTCCAAAACGAATGTTTAAGTGCGAGCTTAACGTAGTTAGAAACGCAATTAAGTCTCATTCCTCGACACTCGAAAGCTCTTTTTGTTTATTTACCGTATTTAACGAATGTTTATCAAAGGCTCGCTCTGTACCGGGCAGTGTGCTTGTGCTGGAGAGAGAATGTAAACAGAAGGTGCTCGCCACTGTGGAGCTTCATTCCAGGGCGGAAGGCAGACTTGAAACAGTAAGAAATAATCACTGCTTCTGAAGGAAGGGAGTAAACAGAGTGGACGAAGCGAGACAGACCTGGGGCGGCCGCTCGCAGGAGGGTTAATGGAAAGGAATGCTGTGACCAGATGCTGTTTTCTGCTCTTTAAAAGAAATCGCGGCAAGATATGCAGACCATAAAATTGACCATTTTAACCATTTGTAAGCATACGATTTAGTGGACGTCAAGTATATTCATGATGTTGTATAAACATCACCACGATCCACTTCTGGAACTTTTCCATCATCCCAAACAGAAACTCTGTCCCCGTTAACAGTTGCAGCAGGCTGCCTTATATGGGAATTATTTTCTGTTCCTTTAAACTTTGTGTACCCATTATGACATTTCTTACAAAGTCTCCCTAGATAGATGGGGGTGGCTCCGTTGCTTCTGTTCCTTATTCTAGCACCTGTGATCTAGCTGGAGACAGGAGCCAACCCAAGCACAGGCTGCTGCTTCTGGGGTGTGTGCATGTGTGTGTGTGTGTGTGTGTGTGTGTGTGTGTGTGTGTGCATGCGTGCATGAAGCAGCGGTTGAGTTTTAGACCATTTCCGAGAAAATGATCTTTCTTGTGTCAAAAACCAGCCATAACGCTTGGGAAAATAGTTTGGCAATTTTTCAAAAAGTCACACATCAAACTACCATACGACCAGCAGCTCTACCCTTACGTGTCTATCCAAGAGAGCGGAAGCATGTGTCCTCAAGGGGACCTGCACGCAGGTGTTCATGGAAGCTTTATTCATAACAGCCCCAAACTGGAAACAACCTGATGTCCACCGACTGATGAACGAGGAGACACGACACGTTGTATCACTGTGACAGAACCTCTTCAGCACCAAAAGGAGCAAATGACTGACACCTGTCACATCATGGACGAACCTCAGAAACATTATGCAATGTGAAAGAGCCACACACAAGTGAGTACGTGCTGTATTTACACGAATCGGCCAGAAAAGGCACGTCGATAAAGACAGAAACTGGATTTGTGATCGCTCGAAGTTAGGGCTGGGAACAGGGGTTGACTTTAGATGGGCGGGAGGGATCGTATCAGGGGGAGATGGCACTATATATATGCGCAAACCGATTTATGATGCTGTTCGCTCCACTTGGTAAAGTTACTAAAAATCATTGAATTGTACACTTGACAGGGGTGAACTTTATACTGTGTAAAAATTCCTCATCAGCAGCTTGGATAAAGTCCAACACTTAATGGTCTCCGGAAGATAAAGGTGTTCTGCTGGGCCGAAGCTGGAACCTTTGAAGTGAACAGAATGGGAGGGAAAACCTGTCCTCATGTTGCTGACATGCCTTGCTTTATCTGTGACAATTGTATTTTGAAAGGCTCCCAGTCTCTCTATTTTAAAGGGAATTAAAGTGTTGAAAGCTATTTAAAAAAACCCATAATTATTTAAGTTTTTCCCAAAAACTGCAATTCTTATTTCCTTCAGTTTTTCAAGTGAGATTTAGGATCTGGAATTATTTCTGTCCCCGAACTGTTGTGTCTGTCCCCATGTAAACTGGCGTTCCCAGAGTACTAATGAAGTTTTCATTTTGGGGGTGGGTAGAAAGGATCCAGAGAGTTTGTTTATTAAACTTTCAGAGAAGCGTTTGTTTCTCAAATGGCTAAACGGTTCTGATCGGTATGATGGGAGAGGGAACAACTTCTCAAGATTACGTGGCCAGAGTTTGCTAAAAATGTGCTTGGCCGTTGTGAAACCTATCTTCAAATTACTTTTAGTTTTCCAGGGTATGGTTAGGAAAAGAAGATGTATGTATGTATGTATGTATGTATGTGTGTATGTGTGTATGTGTATGTGTATGTATGTATGTGTGTATGTATTTATTGTGAAATTGGTTAACGAAATCCAATAAGTTTCAGCTGTACACTTTAACAGTAAGGCATATATATGTTTACAGTGTGTGTTCCCCTCCCATAGTTAGATTTCTTTCTGTCACCACATATTTGACCCCCTTCACCCCATCCACATTCCCCATCACCCCCTCTCCTCTCGTATTCACTAGTCTATTGTCCATGTCCTTGAGTTTCTGTTTGTTTGTCCTGTTCATTTGTTGCTTTTAGGTTTATATCCCACATATAAGTGATATCATGTGATTTTCAACTTTTTCTGTCCGGCTTATTTCACTTAGCATGATTATCTCGAGGTCCACCCAGGTTGTCACAAATGGCACTATTTCATCTCTTCTTATGGCTGGGGCATATTCTATTTTAT